TATTCAAATATAAACAAATATTTTTTAATGAGCATTTTGATTCTTAATTTTAAGTTATAATAGCTATTTAACCTATTAAATGTATTTTCCAACCGTTATCTATAAAAAAATCATTCAGAAAATCAATGCTGGATTATATTTAATATTTACTGCAACATGCATTTAATATTTTGTGAGTTTAAAGGAATGACTTTAACATACTAAAATTAATTACAATCACAGTTGTTATTTTTATAAGATGAAAGTTAGAATAGTTATTTATTACCTTATATAAAATTTTATTTATATTATTTTATATATTAATTATTTTCAGATAAATTAATCTTTTATATTTTCTGAATTTTATAGAATGTATTATTATTATTTTAAATGTATTCTAATTGGTTAAGAAAAAAAAGTATTAATTAGAAGAGATAAATAATATAAAAAATGTACTCTAATTGGTTAGAAAACATATAAATATTAATTAGAAAATAAAAGTAGTGTAAAGATAGTTTTGGTAAAAAAAAAAACACTACCTCTATTTCTATTTATAAGAGTTAACTTAAAATAATTATTTGTTTCTTTATATAAGATCTAATTCATATTGTCTCACATGTTAATTATTTTTAAACTAAAATACCTTATTCTTTTTATTTGGTAAAATGTATTAATTAAATTTTTTTTAATGAACATGCACTCTAATTAGTTAAGAGAAATACAAGTATTAATTAGGAGAGATAAATAATATGGAACATATACTCTAATAAGTTAAAAGATGTATAAGTATTAATAAAAAAAAGTAATATAAAGATAATTTTAGAAAAATATATAAATAAGACAAATTTATTGTCACTAATTAAAGTAATTATTTTTCTTAATCTTAACAAATTAGATAATTGACTTTTATATCTACAAAAAGAGGTAATATATTAAGATAAAATTTATTATTATCAATTAAATTAACTATTTTTTTGATAAATTAGATAATTAGATCTTATATATATATATAAATGAATGTAGTATTTTAAATAATCATGGAAAAAAATGTAAAGCACATGGATTAACTATTACAAGATTTATTCAATTTAATTAATGATCCCCAATTCAAATCTTAAATATAATTTTTTTTTCACTCGTAATAATCTTACTCAAACATAATTATCTCCATTTAAATGACACATATATATGATCTATATAAAAAATTAGATGTCACTAAGCCAAAAATATCACACCAGGGGTTCAATCCCATAAAAGAACAAATATCAAACTTGAAAAATTATATTTCCTCGTGTATGAAAATTAAAAAAAAATCATAAAATCAAAGATCACGAAAATAAAATAATGTTAAGAATAAAAATAAATTAAATCAAACAACATCACATGAAGCCTGATTAATCCAAACATGCATATCATAAAAAAAAATCTCATTTTTTTAAAACTTTTTGTATAATTTTTTTTTGTCTTGTTATGAATATTTATGGTTTATTAGATTAAAAATTAATATCCTGCATCTTTATGATTACTATTAGTTCCAAGATAATCAAACTCAAATTCTTTATTAAATAGATCATTTTCATAATGTGTGAGTAGATGATATTTAAATATTATGTTAATTCATCGTACTTTTGGCACATGTATTAAAAAATACAATTAATTTGTTAGATTTATGATAATTATTATGTACAATTTTAATATAGAATTACTATTTATATTTTACTTTATATACTCCTTTTTTTAACCTTATATCAAATGTTTAAGGATGTAATAATAAAAATATTCCTTTATTCATATTCTAAAATATCAATAAAAATAGAAGAATTTTTTTTTTCTTTCTAAAACATCAAATAAAATGAGACCCGAATAATAATATCAACAGTTCTCTAGAAGTAATCACAAATATTCATCGGTCTTTTATTACTTTTAGAGGAAGTCTTTTGGTATACACAATCTTTTATCATTTTTTTTGGATCATATTTGTTGAGAATTATGTTTTTTTAAGAATGTCATAAACATTTTCTAAAAACAATGTCATAAACATACTTAGTATGTCCAAAATATTTCCAAAAATGAAAGACATAAATTTTACATTATAAATTTTTCTCCTTTTATGAAATTTTGAGACCCATTTTATTGTATTTTATTACAAAATTGTCACGTTATTTTTATCAGTTTCCCTTTTTTTTTCTGTAAGAAAATTCAAAACATGAAACAGAATAAAAACAAAATGACAATTTTATAATTAAAAAGTCAAATTAGGAATCGAGGCTTCCCACCCCTTCCCGTGAGAAATTTGAGGTTAAGTGTAATGTGAACGAAAAAAAAATGTAATTTAGTGTCGTCTTTCATTATGCGAGATTTATATGTAAAACTATTTTTAATTAAAAACTAATACTAAAAATTTGTAAAGTGTTGTAATTAAATTTTGAAATATTGAATAAAATGAAACATTTAATGTATTAAAAAGTTTAAAAACATGATTTATCATTTAACATTTTGTATTTTAAAAATCTTAATATCTAAAATAAATTGTAATACCATTTTTTACCTTGTTATTAGTACAAGTAGGATTAGCTTATGAGTTGGAGTTGAGGTATATGAATGAGAATTTAAGTTTGATTATCATTATCATCAATTTAATCTATTATATTGATAAAAAAATATTAATTATCCATTATGTTAATAAGGTGTGACATAGTTGTTCTTTAAGTACATGATTAAATATTCATCCTTGATAAATATGTATTAAAAAAATTATTTGAAAAGATAAATTTATTAAATATATTTTAATATTTTAAGGGATTAGCCTTTGACTTTTAAGGATGAGATATTTTGATTTATAAAAAAAATCTACCAATTTTGTTAATAATTAATTTTTATTAAAAAAATCTAATTAACTATCTTTAATGAGTCTCATCTTTTATTCATACTTTTTCATTGATAATATTTAAATTTAATTTCCTTCATAAAATTTCGAGTATAGTTCCACTATTTGTAAAATAAATTTAATTTGCATACTCCATCTACTATTTGCACTTTGCAAATTATAATGCTAACATGGTAATCATCTTTTTTGTTTGTAGAGTTTATACATTCAAAAGAAAACCCACAATCATAGTGATTTGATTGGATGACTAATGGTTAAAAATTAGAGAGAATGAATATTGGTTTTTGTTTCTTGTTTTACTATAGCATTTTTGATAATTTATGTTATGTGATTGTGGATGTTAGGTAGGCGCGAAAATTAGTTGTGGTATAAT